TTAAGATTCAAACACATGTTTATATATATATATATATATGTGTGTGTGTGTGTATATGAATTGTGCAACGAATGTAGTGATTTATTACCACCTATATGTTTGTGCATTAGGATGAGAAAGTCTGTATACCTCTGTGTAATTGGTTGGTTGAATTCGTTAACCGGCATATCCATCTCTGTGGGTTATTTAATGCCGAAATGTAAATATTTTGAACATAATTTTATGCCTTCACCTATATATATTTGGTCGAGAAGTTTTTACAAAAACATATTTCTGGTAATTACAGTATAAACTGTATTGCTATACTTTTTCAGTCTTGTATTAATTGTCATTTTATTATAAAAATGTACTGTTGATTTTTTGTTTGAGGCTTCACAATTTGCCCATAGCTGGGATATTAATAGGTACTACCACCCAGAGTCAGGGTGAACCTGGGAACAATAGCAGTTAAAAAGTGGTTCAACTCTCCTGAAAACCTCCAATCTTCCGATCAGAGGTTTTGCTGCCGGATGTAGTTAATCGTCATACTCAGGACGAGCTTCTGTGTGAGTGTGAGCTTATTTTTATTCATGCTTGTATGGATCCGTCAATAATTCTGGATTTATCTAGGTCGAATACATACATATATACATATAAAAGAATAAAGACAAAAGGAAAACTTACCTTAGTCGACACGTTTCGTCTCTATTTTGTATTTTATTTGTCATTTGTCTTTATAAAGCCCATCAGAGGACGAAAAGCGTCAGCTAATATAATTTTTCCTTTTGTCTTTATGCATATTGCCCTTTTAGAGATATAATCTATCTGAAATTTTACACACAGTTGAACGCAAACACTGTTCCTTCAAAGTGCGCGCGCAAAAAAACCCACCATATATATATATATATACAAATTCCTGCACGACTAAGACAACCAGAATAACCATCATAATACTTATTTAATATTTTAAGCACATATGAATATATTTTCCTCTCTATGGCAACGTACTTAAACATTGGTGTAAGTAATTTTGTTTATGGGGCCCTATATCTACATACAGGTACACAACATATATATATATATATATATATATATATATATATATATATATATATATGGTGCGATGGTAAATTGTCGCCATTTTATATTTTTAATTTCGCGCGTGAGAGCTGTTTTTGTTTTTTTGTCGACTGCACAATACACTAGGTTCAGCTGAGGACTGTCTGTTAGAAAAAGCGCATCATGACGCAATTAGCTCTGCCAGAAATTTGGAAACGGCATGCTGTACTGGCATTCGCGCTGGAAGCTCCAATACGAAGATTTTAGAGTCAAAATTAGGATAGCGCAGACGATTCGGAAACAGTTGGATGAATCTAATGCTGATTACGAAGGTACGACAGCTCGGCAAACTCACTTTGATCCTTCTGATAAGAAAAGAACTCTCGAATTTGTTGATGAGTGCTGCGGACTCAACACGGAAACCTACATCAAGTGCCTTGAGGAAGTAGTGCTGCTCTGGGCCCAGAGCGTAACTGCTGGAAGACCCTATGTCTGGCAACAGGACTCTGTACCATGCCACACAAGCAGGAGAACCCAGTCATGACTGTTTCTGTGACCACATTACCCCTTACTGGCCATTTAACTTCCCAATCTACAACCCTATTGATTATTATGTGTGCGGCGCAGTTGAGCCAGAGACCAACAAAACTTTTTTTAACACCAAACATGAATTGAAGGCAAAGATTATGGCAGCATTCACCAACTTAAACAAGAAGACCGTCCAGAAGAGTTGCAGGAGATTCAGAAGTCGTCTGGAGGCCGTGGTTGAAACTGATGACAATTTTATTGAATAAATTGACTTTTTAATATTTCAAAATATTTTTTTGTTTAATTTTGGTAATTATAACTCCCAAAATGAGATATTATTTTCATTTTTGCATAATTTAGACTACAATTTTTCCATAGCTATATATATATATATATATATATATATATATATATATATATATATATATATGTGTGTGTGTGTGTGTGTGTAGAAAAATAGAAAATAACACTTTAGGTAAATAATCCGGAGTTCTTTAGTATTTTTGTTTTTATTTTTAAAAAAAAAAAAAAGTTCTCCATACAGAAATAGAGCTTAAATTATAATTATTTTTTTCAAAAATATGATTCCTTCGCTACATGTTCTCATGTTTCAAAAACAAGAGCCGAAAACCTCAATATAATTATTAAAATTAAATTGAATTAAAGTATCAAGCCCTGTTTCCTCCTCAAGCGAAAATTTAGGAATAACCAATCTTGAAATTTACGCATCTTTATAAGCATGTTCATTCGCAAAATTAATTACTATGGAAACGGCTAGAGCGACCATCTTGATAAGGGACCTAAGAGTTAATTTGTATCCACATATCAGTCACCTTCGGAAAGAGGTCAAATATCGAATGTAGATGTTTATACATTTCTGGTGAATATATATATATATATATATATATATATATATATAGTCAAAGCAAAATAA